GCCACACAAAAAAAAAATCCAATAGATAGGGTGGCTTACACAACAGAAATTAATTTTCTCACAGTTTTGGAGGTTAGAAGTCTGAGATCAGGGTGCCAGCATGGTTGGCTTCTGCAGAGAGATCTCTTCCTGCTTGCAGATGGTCACCTTTTCCCTGTGTCCTCACATGGTCCTTCCCATCTCTTTAATCTTAAGGCCACCGATCCTATCAGATTAGAATCCCACCCTTATGATTTCATTTAACCTTGCAGTTACTATTTAGGAGTGTTTGTGAAATGATTCTGTTATTAAAAAGTTGTGAACTTACTATATGATGGGTACTATGGGGTCGTGCAAATAAGTAGAAAGTAGATAATTATGTCTTAATAGTCCTATCTCCAAAAACAGTCATACTGAGGGTTGGGGCTTCAACATATAAATTTTATGGAGACACAATAGTTTTTTGGCAGATACCACTATGGGATTCACGATTTGCTAACTCACTTTGAAGTCTTCTTTTCCTCATGCAGAAATTTAATTGTAAATTCTGGTGAACACATGCTGTTTTCTAAGTAATCTGTCAGAGGTTTGTGGGGAGCCCTGGTTCTGCTCTTCCTGGACCAGGAAACACTGTGCTCAAAGCCAGAGGCTCGTGTCTACCGTCCATATGCCAGACTGACTTGTCTGAGTCCATTACTTTCCCACACTTCCGCTCTGGAGCACTCTCTGCTCTGGTCTTGGTACCACTTCCTCTCCTGTTTTGGGCAAGGCCATGTGGAGTCGTAGAAAGTGTGGAAGTCAGAACACCTGTGTCTATTCCTAGCTCCAGCGCTTCAAGCTGTGTGACTTTAGGGAAATCACTAATCTTCAGGAAATTCATCTGTGCCTTGCTTTCCTACTTGCAAATCTGCGGCTAGGTGTTGAGAAGTCAGAGATACATGCTATGAAGGAAAATGTGGGATGCTGTGAGACTGTGTGGGCAGGGAGAGGAGCGAACAATGAATCTGGTGGTGTAGGTTGCAGAAGGCTTTCTGGAGGAAATGATAAGGAAAATGCAGGATGAACAGGAGTTACCTAGGAGTAGGCAGTGGGCAGTGTGGGAGAGGGACCACTCAAGACAGAGGGACCAGAGTGAGTACAGCCCCTGAGGCCAGAGGGACTGGTCAGAAGTGCAGTGTGCCTGGTTAGAGAGAGGCCTGGCAGGAGTGAGGTCTGGTGAACCTGGGCAGGCAGGCAGGGGCAAGAGCAGGGAGCTGCCAGGCTGTTGGAGATTCTGTTCTCTATTCCAGGACCTGGTGGGCCACCCCAGTGCGTGTTTTCAAAACATCCATTAGTCTAGAATATGGCCAAGCATTGAGAGAGGAGTATGGACTTCCCTGGCAGCTCAGATGATAAAGAACCTGCCTGCAAAGCAAGAGACTGGGTTTGATCCCTGGGTTGGGAAGATCCCTTGGAGAAGGGAATGGCAACCCACTCCAGTACTCTGGCCTGGAGAATCCCATAGACAGAGGAGTCTGGCAGCCTTCAGTTCATGGGGTCACAGGAGTTACCTAGGAGTAGGCAGTGGGCAGTGTGGGAGAGGGACCACTCAAGACAGAGGGACCAGAGTGAGTACAGCCCCTGAGGCCAGAGGGACTGGTCAGAAGTGCAGTGTGCCTGGTTAGAGAGAGGCCTGGCAGGAGTGAGTTCTGGTGAACCTGGGCAGGCAGGCAGGGGCAAGAGCAGGGAGCTGCCAGGCTGTTGGAGATTCTGTTCTCTATTCCAGGACCTGGTGGGCCACCCCAGTGCGTGTTTTCAAAACATCCATTAGTCTAGAATATGGCCAAGCATTGAGAGAGGAGTATGGACTTCCCTGGCAGCTCAGATGATAAAGAACCTGCCTGCAAAGCAAGAGACTGGGTTTGATCCCTGGGTTGGGAAGATCCCTTGGAGAAGGGAATGGCAACCCACTCCAGTACTCTGGCCTGGAGAATCCCATAGACAGAGGAGTCTGGCAGCCTTCAGTTCATGGGGTCACAAAGAGTTGGATGTGATGGAGAGGCTAACACTGAGAGGTGTCTGAGGCAAGATTAGGGAAGCAGCTGGGGAAGATTGGTGGTTTGGAATAGGATGGGGAGAGTAAACATACTAGTCAAGTCTTTCCATTTTCAATGTATAAATATTTAGCTGTACCGGGTCTTAGTTGCAGCATGTGGGATCTAGTTTCCTGACTAGGGGTTGAACCCTGACCCCCTGCATTGGGAGCTTGGAATCTTGACCACTGGGAAGTCCTAACCTGTTAGTCATTTCTAAACAAGGTTACTATTTATGTTACCTGCAGATTACACAATACTACCTGATTGGCCCAGAGTGATGTTTACTGAGTAATACATTCAGCAGATATTGAACTAGACTCTTCTGTAGGTGCTGAAGACATAGTAGTGACCAAAACACAGAATTTGCCCTCTTAGAGCTGTTTTGCTAGTAAAATGGCTTGCATTCTACTCAGGTTGTTATAGAGTCCAAATGAGATATGTAAACTACCCAATTGTGAATGATTACCTTGGGATCTCCAGTTCGTGGATTTCTAGAAAATACTGGTTTTCAGCTTTTTCCCAGTATTAGTTTACTATGGTTGCTGTAACAAATTACCACAAACTCAGTGGCTTAAAACACCAGGCATTCGTTACCTTCGGTTCTGGAGGTCAGAAACCTGAAATGCATCTCAATGGGCTCAAACCAGGACAGGGCTGAGTCCCTTCTGGAGGCTCCTTGGGAAGAATCTGTTTCCTTGCCTTTTCCAGCTTCCAGAAACTGCCTGCACTCCTGGCTCCGGCCCTCCCATCTGCCAGCCTGCAATGGTCAGTCTCATCGTCCTCACACCCCACCACTCTGGCTCTCGTCTGCCTTCCTGTCTTTGATGTGTAAGGATTCTTATCAGGATTCTTGTGATTGCATTGGGCCCACCTGGGGAATCCAGGAAACTCACTCCATCCGAAGATCCTTCACATAATTACACCTGCAAACACATCACAGGTGCTGGGGTCAGGATGTGGACACCTTTGGCAGTGGTCATTATTCTGCTGACCCCACTCCCCACTGCAGTTGCAGTCTGTCCAAGTCATGACGTGGAATTACGTTTTCTCAGCTCTCTTTTTGGTGATGTCCCCAAGGTGTTATGGAACAGTAAAGTGAATCACAGGGACAAGGAAGTTGGTTCAGTCCCTTTTTCCTGTGTCTGAGAGGTTTAGAGAATCCTGGAGGTTCCCTCTTTATGAGAGGATCTAGTGTCAAAACCACAGCCCTCGCCTGTGCAGCTGGCTCAGCGGCTGGTTCCTACTTATCTCAGCTGCCTTGCTGTTCTCAGACTATTCTAGACAGTATCCTGAAATCTTTAACTGTGAGTGATCTATCGAGCACAATGTCCTTCCTACAGGGTTGCTACAGGGGAAAAAAAACAACACTGTCAAGAATGTAGCCTGATGGTGGCTCAGGCAGTAAAGAATCTGCCTGCAAGGCAGAAGACCCAGGTTTAATCCCTGGGTCGGGAAGATCCCTTGGAGAAGGAGAATCCCATGATCAGAGGAGCCTGGCAGGCTACAGTCCATAGGGTCACAAAGAGTTGGACACAACTGAGCTACTAACACACAAAGAATATGCCCTGACACATTTTATAGCACAGAGGTAGGAAAAGATTCAGTTGATTAAGAAAAGTTCTGGAACTTGTTTCCTTATGGGGGAAGCGATCTAGCCAATTCCTTAAAGAATTACACTTTCCCACACTGCTGCTATTAAGGGATGAGAAAAACACCCCAGGAGATTTTTTTTTTTATTATTTGTTTATGATTTTCCCCCACTGTTACAATCTCAGTGGCTAAAATAGTACCAAATACAGTTTCATATGAATTAATGATTTTTAAAAAAATTTTTATTTATTTTTTATTAGTTGGGAGGCTAATTACTTCACAACATTGCATTGGTTCCCGTCAAGATTGACATGGATCAGCCATGGATATACATGTATTCCCCATCCCGATCCCCCCTCCCACCTCCTTCTCCACCCGATCCCTCTGGGTCTTCCCAGTGCACCAGGTCCGAGCACTTGTCTCATGCATCCAATCCCCCAGGAGATTTTTGTGACCCATTTAAAACTAAATTTATTGGCATTTCCTCATCAGGGACCAGGCTATAGTTTTACAAATCTTTCCCATGGCTGTGTTAGAGGAGCAGCTCTGAAAAAGAAATAAAGGGTTAAGTCAAAAAAGGTTAAGTTCAAGTTCTCTTTTTTTTTTCCTTCAAGAAAATGACTAGGGTTTCCTGATTCCAAATAAGAAATTGCCAACTCAATAACAGCAAGTAAAAACCTACCCGCTCCAAATGCACACATTGTAAGAGGTGGGGGTGAGGTCTGGGTCTGCCTTAGTGCCCGGCGGGGTCCTGGGCTGCACTTTGCAGGCAAGTTTGGTTTGGATCCTCAGCTCCTGTGAGTGAGAGGGTGTAAGGCCCAGCAGTAGAGAGTGGTTTCAAATATGTGGATGAAAAAGGGCTTGAGACGGAGGATGGGTACTAGAGTGGTGCCAGAAATCAAGGCCGTTATCCAAAGGAAAACAGGTCAATCTGCCCTCAGGAGTCGTCCCCAGTGTGACAAGGGACAAGAGCTGACAGTGGAAAGGTACACTGTGATACAGGGCAGGAAAATAAACTGTCTGGGCCCATGTCTGTTTGTTTGTTTTCTTTTTGGCTGTCATGGGTCTTAGTTGTGGCATGTGGGATCTAGTTCCCTGACCAGGAATTGAACCCAGATCTTCTGCATCGGGAGGGTGGAGTCTTAGCCATTGGACCACCAGGGAAGTCCCCCAGCCCCATGTCTTTATTGCTTGCCATACACCACACTCATGGGCCCTCCGGTCAGATTTGCATCTTCAGTGAACAAGATTCTTCATTTTCCCTGGCCTCTGAGAAGGCCCCTGGGAGAAGCAGACAAATGAATTTCAGGAGGGACGTCTCTGAAGGACAAAAGCACAATAGGGCCGCAATCCGCACTATCCACTTTCCTGGACGCACAGTGCCCCTCTTTCTTCGTTCCTCAGCCCTTGTCTGAACCCCGCGCTCTGCTTTCTTTCAGCTTTAGTAATGGCATCATCTCTTCCGCGCCTTTCAGCGGCTGGCCGGCCTCTGTTCCCCGAGCGGCGATGTCGGTTCTCAGGGGCACCAGCCAGAGAACAGACGCTGCCTCTGCCGGGAGCCGCGTCTCCTTTCCCACACTGCAGGCAGGAAAATGGGTGAAAGGGAGGTGAGGAAGGGCCTCGCTTTCGTTTTCAAAACCCTGGCATCAAACCCTGCTAGGATTTCCATGCGGTTCTTCCTTGTGCATTGTGGACTGCAGCCCATGTCCTTTCTATTAAATCTAGAACTGATTCCCTAGGTAATGAATGGAAGACTCGTCCCCAGGCTTCCCAGAGAAATTAGGCATGCTATTGGTAGCGTTCAGTAGGCTTTTACAACTGGAGATAAGCCACCCCAATGTTCTGTCTCAATGTGTAAAAGCCTGGGCCTCTTCACCTGACCTCGAGTTGGTGACAGGGTCAGAGGAGAATGTGGCCATTTGTGGCTCTGATTCCCAGCTTGGGTTTGTTCCTATGGGGTATTGGTTTTTCGTTCTTTCTAGAAAGCTATGGCATGTTAAAACCAACTAGACCCAGAGAGCATAAAAAACACACTTTGAAATTCTGACTTTGCCCTAGGGTTTCACATGTGGTGCTAGTGGAAAGAGCCTGTCTGCCAATGCAGGAAATGTAAGAGATGTGGGTTCGATTCCTGGTTTGGGAAGGTCCTCTGGAGGAAGGCATGGCAACCCACTCCAGTATTCTTGCCTGAGAATCCCATGGACAGAGAAACCTGGCGGGCTACAGTCCATAGAGTTGCAAAGAGTCGGACATGACTGAAGTGACTCAGCATGCATGTCGCCTTAGTGTTTGGCAACCTGCCTAGTCAAATTGCCCTGGTGTTGATCTTAAAGCAAAACTGCCTCTGTAAGTAAATTGCCAGGTGGACCTGTCCAGGCAGCTGAGGAGTTTGTGTCACTGTGTCTGTTGAAATTGCTGGCTGCTGCAGTTTCGACAGTCAGGTGTGGGGTGGACACCACCCCGAGCAAGTGCCCTGATTGTAGGGCAGCTGAGCTGTTGAATGGGGGAGATCAGCTGAACTCCTTTAGAAGTCTAGCTCAGGACCCCAGACTTGCATATCTGGAAGAGTCTATGTGATAGATATCAGTAGCCCCCTTTTTCAGTAGATGAGCTCAGAAAAATTTTAAGTGAAATCTTTTATTATTATTATTATGGCTGGTTGTTCAGTCGCTCAGTCATATCTGACTCTTTGCAAGCCCATGGACTGCACAGCATGCCAGGCTCTTTGCCCTTTACCATCTCCCAGAGTTTGCTCAAACTCATGTCCATTGAGTCGTTGAGGCCATCCAACCATCTCATCCTCTGTCACCCTCTTCTCCTGCTCTCAGTCTTTCTCAGCATCAGGGTCTTTTCCAGTGAGTTGGCTCTTTGCATCAGGTGGCCAAAGTACTGTAGCTTCAGCTTCAGTGTCAGTCCTTCCAGTGACTATTCAGGGTTGATTTCCTTTAGAATTACCTGGTTTGATCTCCTTGCTGTCCAAGGGATTCTCAAGAGTCTTCTCCAGTTCGAAAGCATCAATTCTTTGGTGCTCGGCCGTTATTATGGCTAGTATAGTTTCATTTAAGGAATTATTTTCATAGTCTCATTTAAGGAATCACATAACAAATCCTTTATAAACACAAATAATCATCCCTTAATTGTACTTCTAGAATCACTGATTTTCATTTGTTGGAAAATGGTTATTCCTCTAGAGAACAAGTTTCAGGGGCAAGTAAGCTGTTTAGCAGCAATATAGTTAAAGTACCGAGAGTGAATAATTTCTGTTCCCTCTCCCAGTAAATCTGTTTTGTGTGTCTCGGCTTGAAGAACGTTGCAGAGGACACAGACAAACATCTGAAGATAATATATCAGGTAGGCAGCCTAAGCCCCTCTGGGGTGCAGTGTTTAAGGAGGTGGTGACAATTAGATAAGCCAGGGAAGGACATGATGACCTTGCAGGCCCTATAGTCTTACTTCCCAAGAGTGTCCAGGCACAACATTTCTGCCTGTCCTTTGGGACAAGGCGGGTAATGCAAAGCAGCAGAGAGTGTATTCTTTGGAGATCCAAAGATACAAAAAATACAAAGTATGAAGACCAGACTTGATCTCCTGAAGTCCACCCTTAATGTTCTTCCTTCTCCTAGGGATGAAAATGACATTGAACATTTAACAACACATGGCGAAGGCAGTCCCAGTTAGAACCAGAGGGGCACTCAATAAGCAAGAATGAGCTCAGCAGTCCAGACCAACAGGCAAAGGGAGAAGGAACTCCTTGCAGTCAGAAGACACACAAGCTAAGTCTCAGCTTAGACATGATGCTCCCACCCAGTGTGATTCTTTAGCATTTACAAAAGGCACTGAATGCTCAGAGATCCTGGAGGCTAGCTGCTGAGGGTTGAGTTGTCTTCCTGAAGGTAATGTTGAAGTTCTGGCCCTAGTACCTGTGTATGTGGGTGTGTATATATATATATATATATATATATATATATATATATATATATATATGAAAGTTGCTCAGTTGTGTTCAGCTCTTTGCAATCCCATGGACTGTAGCCTGCCAGGCAACTCCATCCATGGGATTTTCCAGGCAAGAATACTTGAGTGGGTTGCCATTTCCTTCTCCAGGGGATCTTCCTGCCCAGGGATCAGACCCAGGTCTCCCACATTGCAGGCAGACTCTTTACTGTCTGAGCTACCAGGGAAGTCCTAGTACTTGTGAGTGGGACCTTATTTGGAAATAGGGTCTTTGCAGATATAGTCAATTTAAGATGATGTCATAGTGGATTAGAATGGGCCCTAATCCAGTGGCTGGTATCCTTGCACAATGGGGAAAATTTAGACACACAGAGAGGAGAGAATGTTGTGTAAAGGCACAGACATACAAGGTAAGACAGCCGTGTGATAAAGGAGCCATGTGACAGTGGATGCAGCTGAAAGTCAAGGAGGCCAGGACTGCTAGGAACCACCAGGAGCTAGGGGACAGGCATGGAACACACTTTCCCTCTGAGCTACCAAGAAGGAACCAGCCTTGCTGACACCTTGATTTTGGACTTTATAGCGTTCAGAATGACGAAAGAATACATACTTGTGGTTTTAAGGCATCTAGTTTGTCCCTGAGAAACTAATAGTGTGGGTGATATATTTCCAGTTATATGAAAGAAAAACACAGGTTTCAGAGATGTTAAGAAACATACCCAAGATTATATACTCAGTAGGAGGTTAGTATGGGCTTTCCCGGTGGCTCAGTCGGTAAAGAATCCACCCACAATGCAGGAGACCTGGGTTCGATCTCTGGGTTGGGAAGATCACCTGGAGGAGGGCATGGCAACTCACTTCAGTATTCTTGCCTGGAGAATACCCATGGACAGAGGGGTCTGTTGGGCTACAGTCCATGTGGTCTCAAAGAGTCTGACATGACTCCACGACTAAGCACAGCATAGCACAGGAAGTTAGAATGGAAACTTAAAACCCAGAGTTATGACTTTCAATCCACAGCCCTTCCCTCAACACAGTCTCTGAAACAATTGACATGAAGGTGAATAAAAAAGAGATGTGTACCAGCCCTGAGCACTTGTCTCATGCATCCAACTTAGGCTGGTGATCTGTTTCACCCTTGATAGTATACTTGTTTCAATGTTATTCTCTCAGAACTGGGAAGACCCAGAGTGATGGAATGGGGAGGGAGGCAGGAGGGGGGATCAGGATGGGGAACACGTGTAAATCCATGGCTGATTCATATCAATGTATGGCAAAAACCACTACAATATTGTAAAGTAATTAGCCTCCAACTAATAAAAATAAATGAAAAAAATAATAATAAAAGGACTTTAGGAGAAAGACCTAAGGGTAATAGCTGGGGCTAGAATAGTCTTTGTAATACCCCAGAAAGTCCTAAGGCAGAATACATGAAGTTCATGAGAGGCTCCAAGTCAGAACTGCTTAGATGAGCCTTCCCCTAATTCTTGGCCCACAAAAACCAGTGGAAATAATAAAATGACTGCTGTTGTTTTAAGTAAGAAAAAAAGAGAGAGAGAGAGAGAGAGATGTGTAGATATTTCATTTCTGGCTATATACTCAAAAGTATTGAAAGCAGAGTCTCAAAGTGATATTCATACCCCTGTACTTATAGCAGCATTACTCACAAAGGCTAAAAGGTGAAAGCAGCCATAATGTTCATTGATGAATGAATAGATCAGCAAAACATGGAATATATATATATATTTACAATGGGCTATTATTCAGCCTTAGAACACAAGGAAATTCTGACTTACAGTACAACATAGATGAGGCTTCCCAGGTGGCTCAGTGGTAAATAATCCACCTGCTAATGCAGGAGATGTAGGAGACATGGATTTGACCCCTGGATAGGGAAGATCCCCTGGAGAAAGAAATGGTACCCCACTCCAGCATTCTTGCCTGGAAAATCCCATGAACAGTGGAACCTAGCAGGCTACAGTCCATGCATGGGGTCTCAAAAGAATCAGACACAATTTAGCATGCATGCATATACTATAACATGGATGAACCTGGGGACATTTTGCTAACAGAAATAAGTGGATCACATAAGGACAAACATTGTATAATCCCACTTACACGAGCAATCTAGAGCAGTCAAATCCCTCGAGACAGAAAGTAGAAGCCTGGCTGCCAGAGGTTGAGGGAAGGGGGCAGAGGGGAGTTGTTTAATGGGCATAGAGTTCAGTTTTACAAGATAGGTGGAGTTCTGGAGATCGGTATTACAACAAGTAAATGTACTTAACACTCCTGCACTATACACTTAAAAATGATTATATGATAAATTTTATGTGTATTTTACCACAATTTAAAGAGAGGGAGGGAGCATATTTTGATAACAGGATTGTTAGATTGGATTTGCTGTGAGCAGGCAGCCAGATTGGAAGGGCTGGTTTCTTCCCTCAAGAAAATATTGCTCCCACCTAGGTAGCTCAGCTGGTAAAGAATCCGCCTGCAATGCAGGAGACTCTGGTTCAATTTCTGGGTTGGGAAGATCCCATGAAGAAGGGATAGGCTACTCACTCCAGTATTCTTGGGCTTCCCTGGTGGCTCAGAGGGTAAAGAATCCACCTGCAATGCAGGAG